ATCTGATGGAAGTGTTGTTGAAAATGAAATTTGAAAAGTTTAAGCAATGGCTAACGTTCTCACTCTGAGTGTAATGCCTTGGTATTAGAAATGTTAGAATCTGATTGTAATATCTTGAGAATGAACCTGTTGAAACTCATCAGAATGCTAACATCCCCACTTCTCATTATAGTATTGTTTTGTATGGAAATTCCTTGAATTGAAAGGCCTTGTATTTGGCATATTAGGTATCCACCTAATAAAGAATGAGCAAGAGTCATAGCTTTAGGAAGGGCTTGCTGCCACGTGGGAGTGGGAGAGTTTAATCTTTATCCACTTATTAGGTAATTAGGCAATGTCCCGTTACCCGGTAATTAACCAATTACCCATATAATTAAGAATTGTCTCAATTTACTTAAAATTATACTTATTTTTAATACACTTTATACATCATTCTATCATGGTCATATGGTACCTTGTATGGTATTAGTCCATAAATATCGGGTATTATCGCTCGACCCATATTTTATCCCAAATCAACAACCTTCAACGAAACTCATTTTCTTTAATTCGTATACCCTTTATCCTTCATGACACCTACTTATCACTTGTTATAAATAGTATAAATATGCTAACCTCAAGATAATCTCATCCCCGAGTCTACGTCGATTAACTGAAGACGAAATTTTATCGTACGAAAATGCGAGATGTAACAAGAAGGAGGAGCTCCAATATCTTCCACTTCAATTGTTGATCAAGTCTTGAGAATTCAATGGGAAAATCTTTCAAGTTACCTACTAAAGAGGTAAGTCTTTCTCCCCAACTCACATGCAATATCCTACTATGCAATTATGAATACGATTGTAGTATTTTGGGGGTTTATGGGATGGTGATCAAAAGCCTAGCCCTCTATTTCGAATTTGGGGTGTGTGAGGAGAATGTGGGGTGTGGTTCTTGATTTGGGGGTGTGTCGTTGAGTATGCATGTACAAATGAAGGTGATATGGAGGATGTTGAACTATCGTGGGTAGATTCTTGTTTGAAATTGATTGTGGGGTGAAGGAATTCCACTCTATAAACCTTGTAGTCAAAATTCGCGCACTTAATATTTGATGAAATGCCAATAATAGATAAACCTATGAACGCCTCCCTAATAGTTGTTCAATTTGATTATGTTGCTATAGATTGAACTGATAAGAGTAGTGGATCATTGTGGTAATCCTAAGGAAACCTCAATGGAGGTATGTTTGCTAAACTCTTACCATAGAATCGAATTTCCATGAGTTCCTTATGAATTCCAAGTACGGGTTGACCAAGCTTCCATCCTTATTGTGCCAAATCATCACAAATGTTTTGATTTATTGTTGCTCCCAAATGCACACGCAAGTTTACGTGGTCGTATAAGTAATAAAATGATAAGTCGAGTGTCGAACCCACAGAGACTTGTATCAACTACCCACTAAATTCACCAAGATTGTTATTCAGTCGAGCCAATTCGCGTTCAAGAGTTTAATTATACTAAACTATAATTCTAAGTAGTAACTAAATTATCAAGCAGCAAAACGGTTGTTGTGTATTCACTAGAGATAATATTCCAGGGTTGTGATCGATTCACCAATCCTATTGTGTTCTAGTTAACTATCCCTTTCATACAATTCAGTCATGGTTGCTAATTAATCGAAAAATTGCTCTCATAGACTTCTCCCGAAGTACTACTTGCCTATTCAAAATAGATTAACGCCTATATTCCTATGAAATTAATCTATTAAGAATGCATTAAGATTACGATATTTAATTAAGTACGGTGACTAGCTATATTCCTATCCTAACCACAAATCCGCTCCCCTCAGAGTTAAGATCATGCTCTCTTCAATTCTTCTCTAATCTAAACATGGCTTTCCCAAGCATAGCATAGATAGTCAATAGAACCTAACTACTGGCTAGGCAATTAAGCAATTAATCACAGAAATGAAGAAACAACCATATATTGGTGAGTTGTAATCAAGGTTAAGTCAACGTTAAACAACAATATTCATGGCTAAATCACAACCCCAGAACTATGGGTTTTAGCCACTCATGAAAGTATCAAACAAATTCATAAGTGTTGGATAATTGAAAATACTAAGACAAGATGAAGAAATCTGAGATATCCTTGCTCCCGAATGTTCCTCGTGTGTCTCTTGGTCTAAAGTGTGTTAAAAGTCCAGAAAATAACGTTTTTCCATGTATTTTTACCAAGTAGGATCGGACCTAGATGAAATCTCCCTTTCCTAGCCAAAATAGGAAAACTTGCAAACTTAATACTTTCCATGCGTCGCACTAATGCTTTTTCCTGTCAGACCACAAAAAACCCAGTCTCTAAACTTTGGAAATTTCTGACAAAAATTTGCACTAATGCGTCGCACAACACCTCGCACAGTGCCTTACACTAGTGCATTTCTTATGCAGTTGCTTGTTCCTTGAATTTTGACGTCCAGAAATGATCCTCGACTCCTGAACACGATCCCGGCTTAATCCTTTGGGCTTTTACTCAGATTTCTAGGCTCCAAATAGCTCGAATTATTTTCACAACATCTACATAACTCAGAATCGCTCCTACAAGGCATAAAATACACAATAAGTGCAAACCACTAGCGATTAAAGCTCAAACACAATAAAAGTGCAGTAAATTAAAGTGCGATAAGCGTCTAAAATATGCAATTATAACCTACCATGAACACCCACACTTAATCCATTGCTCGTCTTCGAGCAATCAAACTACACTTTATATAGACACAACCTTTTTAAACAATCCTCCTAACTCATTACACCAAGAATATTTAAAATAGACTAAGCACAATAGTGTAACATCATCACCTCAAGATTTCACTCACAAGCGCCATACATTTTTCACAACCCGCTCACTTACTCTAACGTAGAGGTCAATCATTACCTTTACTTTATGAATCAAGTTCCCTCACACAAAAAAGAGAGTAGTTACACACTCAATAAAATTTAAGAACAATTAGGAACTCAAGATAGAAAGAATTCTCTCACTCTCAGAAACATCATTCATATGCCACAAAAGATGCACCATAGGCTTGCCTGTATTGTACTGCTCTACTAATCGAGCTCATTCAGTCTAAGATCAAGTAGGACTTTAATTGGTTGTAATGTAGGCTGCGGGACGGGTATGATATATTTAGATATAAGAGTGACTACACCTCCCTAAGCACTTTAATACATACACTTTAACATTTAAAACCCCACACTTATGTCAAACCATAACTCCACCTTCACATCGATATACATCAACTCCCTACTTCTTTAAGCATAATTACATCAAGAGTTACCACTTTCAAGGAATATTTTTCACAACAATACAACTATTTTTATTTATTTTCTTTTTCAATTCAAGTGGCTCTTACTTTTTTAAAACAATGCACTTTTCTCCTTATTTCATTAGTTCCACTCAAAAGCCAAACCAACCACCACACACTTTAACTTTTACAAAGTTCATAACAATTCCAAGCGCTCATGAGAGGTGAAAAGATTCAAAAAGATGGTTAATTCAAATAAATGGGTAAGTCTTGTAATGTGATTGCAAAAGAAACAAGATTATATGCTCAAAGGGGTTAACTACGATACACAACAATTAGGTGGGTAAAAGCATATAACTGGCTCAACAAAGAAATGCTTATATCACTTCCTAGACTGACCGAAACTAGTAATTCATTTTGCAAACACACGGGGCAAGTTCTAGACATCAAATGCAATGCACAGAATAACACACAAACCTCACACACACTTGACACATGACTCACTCAGGATTGGACTCATCAAGACATTCTAGTCAAAGCAGTTAAGCAAAGTTAAGATCATACAATTTAAGGTACTTATACAAGAGTCAAAAACTGATCCTAAGCATCACAACCAAAGTACTCACTATTCTCAAGGCATAACAAAGTTAAGAAATATTGCTTCAATTCCAATCACAACACACTGGCTCCTACTCCTAAAAATAAAACACAACTAACTACACCCAGTTCAAACAAAACCCTTGAAAAAGAAATGCGACACAAAGAAAAACCAAGGGGGAATTATTACACTACCTACAAAAAAATATTATTCTTTTTATTGGACTTTAATCCCTCAAGAAAGATGTCCACAAAATCCATCGTCGGGAAAAGTCTAAATTTTCTGAATTCTTTTTTTCTCAATTTTCGTTTTTTTTGCATCACTACACTAAGAAGGAATACTACAATTAAGTTAGGATAGCTTAGAAAATTACCCAGACAATCTCCTTACCCCACACTTAAAATTATACAATGTTCTCAATGTACACTATAAATAACAAGAGTGTAAAAGAGACTCCCTGGTAGGCCAAAGGCCGAAGAATTAGCAGCTCACGAGTACTCAGACTTCCCCCAGGTATGGTCCTTTGTGTGGGAACCCCACACTTAGTTCTCACCATCTAGCTCGCTTTTTTACACCCTTCCTATGGCTTTGCTTCCTATGCTTATAATCCTACAACATCAAAACAACCACTACAAAAATAATATAATAAAAAATTAAAAACAAAAGAAAGCAGTAAAGCTGGGTTGCCTCCTAACAAGTGCTTGATTTAATGTCGCAGCACGACACAGGGTCTTGCTTACTCATCAGCGAGTACAACATTGGTCTTCTCACGATCAATTATTCCTCCCCAATAGTGCTTGACTCTTTGTCCATTCACTAAAAATTTCCTTTCACCATTTAAAGCACGCAACTCAATTGCACCATAGGGAGTGACTCTTACTACCTCAAATGGGCCTGACCATCTCGATTTTAACTTCCCAACTTGAGCCTAGAGTTGAACAATAATACCTGTTGGCCTGGCTCGAAGTGACATGGCTTGATACGCTTGTCATGCCATCTTTTCATTTTCTCTTTGTAAAGCTTAGCATTTTCATAAGAGTGCAGCCTGAACTCATCTAACTTATTCAACTGCAAGAGTCTCTTCACACCTGCGGCTTCAAGGTCCATATTCAACTTTTTAATGGCCTAGTACGCTTTGTGTTCAAGTTCAACATGCAAGTGACATGCTTTCCCATAAACGAGCTTATACGACGATGCCCCAATTGGCATTTTGTATGTAGTTCTATACGCCCACAAGACATCATCTAACTTTGCAGCCCAATCCTTCCTATTCACACTCACTGTCTTCTCTAAGATTTGATTTATTTCTCTGTTAGACACCTCAGCTTTTCCACTTGCTTGGTGATGATATGTCGTAGCAACTCTATGACGGACTCCATATTTAGCTATAAGGTTATTCAACAACCTATTGCAAAAATGTGTCCCTTCATCACTAATCAAGGCATGTGGAGTCCCAAACCTCGAGAATATGCTCCTTTTCACAAGCGCAGCTACCACCATGGCATTATTTGTTGGCAATGAAATCGCCTCTACCCATTTTGACACGTAGTCAACTACTAGCAAGATGCATTTGTTTCCTCTGGACAATGGGAATGGTCCCATAAAATCTATCCCCCACACATCAAAAATCTCGACCTCCAAGATATTATTCAAAGGCATCTCATGCCTCTTTGTGATTGTTCCTGTTCTTTGACACCGGTCACACTTCTTTACAAATGCATGGGCATCCTTGAATAATATTGGCCAAAAGAAACCGGATTGTAATACCTTTACAGCTGTTTAATCGCCTCCATGATGACCCCCATAAGGTGATGCATGACAATCATACAACACTAATTCCACCTTCTTTTCTGGAATGCATCTCCTCATCAACTGATCAGCACACTGCTTGTACAAGTATGGCTCATCCCAGTAGTAGAAGTTCACATCATGTAAAAACCTCTTTCTAGCTTCAAATTCAATTTTAGGCAGAAGTACCCCAATCACAAGATAGTTCACATAGTTCGCGTACCATGGGGAAGGGTCTTGGGTGATAGCAAAAAGTTGCTCATCAGGAAATGCCTCTTTAATTTCTCCACCCGCCTCTACGTGGTTAATGATTTTCCAGCCTTGATAGACGGTCAGCTACTTGGTTCTCTATGCCCTTTCGATCTCGTATTTCTACATCAAATTCTTGCAACAACAAAACCAAACGCATCAATCTAGCCTTAGATACCTTTTTTGAAAATAGATACCCGATTGCTGCATGATCGGTATGGACTATGACTTTTGTTCCCACCAAGTATGCCCGAAATTTTTCAAAGGCCCACACAACGGCTATCAACTCCTTTTCAGTGGTGGTGTAATTCAGCTGTGTATCATCAAGAGTCTTACTCGCATAGTAGATGGAATAAAACACCTTGTCTTTCCTTTGGCCTAGCACTGCCCCAATAGCATGGTCACTTTCGTCACACATAAGTTCAAATGGTAAGGACCAATCTGGTGCCGCAATAATGGGGGAAGCCACCAACTTCTTTTTGAGCTCTTCAAATACCTTTAGGCAGGCATCATCAAAATTGAAAGTTACGTCTTTTTCAAGAAACCTGCACAAAGGAGTAGCAATTTTTGAAAAATCCTTTATAAAGCGCCGATAGAACCCCGCGTGTCCCAAGAGACTCTGGACACCTTTCACATAAATGGGTGGAGGTAATTTTTCAATCGCCTCCACCTTCACCTTATCAACTTCAATGCCGCTTCTAGACACTCTGTGACCTAACATGATGCCTTCCTGCACCATAAAATAGCACTTTTCCCAATTCAAAACTAGATTTGTTTCTTCACAACGGGCTAACACCTTGCTCAAATTCTTCAAACAGTCGTCATAAGAAGACCCAAAGGCTGAAAAATCATCCATAAAGACTTCCACAAATATTTCCACCATATCGGTGAAAATAGCCATCATGCATCTCTGAAAAGTGGCTGGTGCATTACAAAGACCAAACAACATATTCTTGAAGGCGAAAGTGCCATAAGGACAAGTAAAAATGGTCTTCTCCTGATCCTCTAGGCATATGATAATCTGGTTGTACCCCGAATAACCATCAAGAAAGCAATAATATTCATGCCCCGCCAATCTGTCCAACATTTGATCAATGAATGGAAGTGGGAAATGGTCCTTGCGGGTTGCTTTGTTGAGCCTTCTGTAATCAATGCAAACTCTCCACCCCGTTACAGTGCGAGTAGGAATTAACTCATTTTTTTCATTCTCTGCCACAGTCATCCCCCCTTTTTGGGCACACATTGCATTGGGCTTACCCAGTTGCTGTCAGAGATAGGAAAGATGATACCTACATCGAGCCACTTGATTACTTCCTTCTTCATGACCTCTTTCATAATGGAATTTAATCTCCTTTGCTGCTCAACACTGGGGCAGTGTCCATCTTCCAGAAAGATTTTACGCATGCAAAATAATGGACTGATTCCCTTGATGTCAGCAATTGTCCACCCAATAGCCTTTTTATGTTTGCGAAGTACTCTGAGCAGTTTTTCTTCTTGTATATTAGTCAAGCTGGATGAAATAATCAGTGGCAATGTCTCAGAGTTCCCCAAATAAGCATAGCGTAGATGCACTGGAAGGGGCTTAAGTTCTAGCTTTGGAGTTTCTTCAATAGATATCTTAGGAGGGGTCAGAGTGACAGGCCTGTCCAACTCCTCAAATCTCCCAAACCCATGGACATAACTGCAAGACATGTCAAGTACTTGCTCAATTTTTCCCATCATCTCATCTTCACTATCTTCTTCATCCCCAATCAAAGCTCGTTCAAGAGGATCTACGGGGCTCATATAAGGCACCAATGACGTAGCATCACTTTTCACCACAGAAATCATAGATAACTCTTCATAATGGGCTGGCAATCTTAGTGCTTTATACACATTGAATACCACCACTCGATCACCAACTCTCATCGTCATCTTTCCTTCACATACATAAATAATAGCTCGGCCCGTGGCTAAGAATGGACGCCCAAAAATAAATGGGACTTCCTGATCAGGCTCGTAGTCCAAGATAATGAAATCAGTAGGGAATATGAAAGAACCCACTTGAACTAACATATCTTCAATCACTCCTTCGGGATGAGCAAGGGAGCGATCAGCTAACTGTAAGATTACCGTTGTTGGGTGTGGCTCACCCAACCCCAACTGTCTGAACACAAATAGCGACATCAAATTGATGCTCGCTCCAAGATCACACAAAGCTCGCCCGACTGCATGCTTACCAATCGAGATTTGGATAGTGAAACTACCCGTATCCTTCAATTTCTGAGGTAGCTTGCTTTGGATTCTAGAGCTACATTTCTCATTGAGTGCCATAGTCTCGAATTCAGTCAACCTCCTTTTAGTTGCCACTATGTCCTTGATGTATTTTGCATATTTGGGCACTTTTTGCAGGAGGTCTACTAGTGGAATATTGATTTGCACTTGCTTCAAAATATCATGAAACATTTTATACGCGACATTATCCTTCACTTTCTGCAATCTTTGAGGGAACAGAGGTGGTGGCCTCGCAACTAATGGTGGAGTTTGCTTAGCCACCGCCTCTTCAACTGGCTTCTCTAACTCCTTTGATTTTTCAGATTCCGACTCAATAGTGGTTGGCTCCTCATTAAAGGTTACTTATTTTCTCTTTTTTGACTGGACTTCTTCTAACTATCTCCCATTCCTCAATGACACAACATTAATAGATGCCTTAGGCTTAGCCTCAGTGTCTCTTGGAAGAGCTCCAACTGGTCGAGTATTTTGGGCACTGGCAAGTTGTCCCATTTGTCGCTCCAAATTTCTCATTACCGCTGCTTGGGCCTGCTGATCAGCCATTAGTTTTTTCATCATCTCCTTAAGGTGACTCATTGAGTTTGCATGTTGTTCAACCTGAGGTGGTCTATATTGTTGTTGAGGTGCTTGAGGCCTGTATTGATTCTGAGCACCTTGGTTTCCACCCCAAGAGAAGTTTGGGTGATTCCTCCAATTGGGATTGTAAGTGTTCCCATACTGGTTTGTCTGGCCCCTATTTGTATTACCCACAAAACAGACAGACTGTGGATTAACTGGGCATAAGTCGATTGTATGACCCTCTCCACATACTTCACAAAATAATTGAACCTGTTGCATTGGCTGGGCTTGTTAATAACCAAGGTCATCTGATTGACTTGGTTGGTCAATGTGGAAATTTGCGCTGATAATGTAGAGACGACATCTAACTAGAGAACCCCTGTAGATTTTTGCACTGTGTGTCTGCCCATCTCTCCTTGCCAATCAGGATTGCTTTTGGAGAATTTGTTCAATAACGCATATATCTCATCAAAGCTTTTCTCCAACACTTGACCTCCAACTGCAACATCCACCACAATCTTTGTCTCAGGATGTAGCCCTTCTATGAAAGTGTGAGCTAACACTTCGTTTGTCTGATTGTGATGAGGGTAGTCTCTGAGCAGCCCCTTAAACCTCTCCCAAGCTGAGTATAAAGACTCCCCCGTTTTCTGTTTGAAGGTGACTATCTCACTCTGATCTTTGCAGTTTTGCCTGCAGGGAAGAACCTTGCCAAATATTTCCTTGCCAGATCATTCTAGGATGTAATAGAATTAGCTGGTTCTGCCTTCAACCATCGCTTTGCTTCGCCCAATAGAGAGAACGGGAAAAGTGTGAGCCTCACATAGTCTGGAGTGACTCCGTTGGTGATATTAGTATCACTAATCTCTAAGAAGTCCAGGATGTGCTGTTGTGGATCCTCATGTGGAAGACCCATAAACTGTCCATTCACACGTAGTAGCTGGATCATGCTCTATTTCAGCTCAAAGTGCCCAGTGATTCTTGGCTTCACAATGCTGGAGGAGACATTAGCAATGATGGGCATCGCCACCTCCTAAACAACCATATGTTGCTCCTCTGCCATGTTCACAAGAAATTGAACAAGTGCCTGAAGATTATTTGTATCCCTTGCTTCCCTCAACCTCCTGTGAAATGTTCTCTCAGGTTTGGGGTCAAAACCTTGAAGTCTGTCCTGGCTTCTGACCCTACGCATTCAATCAAAGTTCCTGAGATCAGAGCAACAATGAAGTAACGTTAGACTTGATGAAATAAACAATGAAAGCAAAAACTAAAAAGTAGTCAATATTCCAGTCCCCGGCAACGACGCCAAAAACTTGTTGCTCCCAAATGCACACGCAAGTATACGTGGTCATACAAGTAATAAAATGATAAGTCGAGTGTTGAACCCACAAAGACTTGTATCAACTACCCACTAAATTCACCAAGATTGTTATTCAGTCGAGCCAATTTGAGTTCAAGAGTTTAATTATAATAAACTATAATTCTAAGTAGTAACTAAATTATAAAGCAGCAAAACAGTTGTTGTGTATTCAGTAGAGATAATATTCCAGGGTTGTGATTGATTCACCAATCCTATTGTGTTCTAGTTAACTCTCCCTTTTATACAATTCACTCATGGTTGCTAATTAATCGAAAAATTTCTCTCATAGCCTTCTCCCGAAGTACTCCTTGCCTATTCAAAATAGATTAATGCCTATATTCCTATGAAATCAATCTATTAAGAACGCATTAATATTACGATATTTAATTAAGCACAGTGACTAGCTATATTCCTATCCTAACCACAAATCCGCTCCCGCCTCAGAGTTAAGATCATGCACTCTTCAATTCTTCTCTAATCTAAACATGGCTTTCCCAAGCATAACATAGATAGTCAATAGAACCTAACTGCTGGCCAGACAATTAAGCAATTAATCACAGAAATAAAGAAACAACCATATATTGGTGAGTTGTAATCAAGGTTAAGTCAATGTTAAACAACAATATTCATGGCTTAATCACAACCCCAGTATTATGAGTTTTAGCCACTCATGAAAGTATCAAATAAATTCATAAGTGTTGGATAATTGAAAATACTAAGAAAAGATGAAGAAATCTGAGATATCCTTGCTCCCGAATGTTCCTCGTGTGTCTCTAGGTCTAAAGTGTGTCAAAAGTACAGAAAATAACGTTTTCCCATGTATTTATACCAAGTAGGGTCAGACCTAGATGAAATTTTCCTTTCCTAGCCGAAATAGGAAAACTTGCAAACTTAATGCTTTCCATGCGTCACACTGTGCGCCGCACTAATGCTTTTTCCTGTCAGACCATAAAAAACCCAGTCTCTGAAATTTGGAAATTTCTGACAAACATTTGCACTAATGCGTCGCACAGTGCCTCGCACTAGTGTATTTCTTCAGCAGTTACTTCTTCCTTGAATTTTGACGTCCAGAATTGATCCTCGACCCCCGAACATGATCCCGACTTAATCCCTTGGGCTTTTACTCAGATTTCAAGGCTCCACATAGCTCGAATTAGTTTCATAACATCTACATAACTGAGAATCGCTCATATAAGGCATAAAACATACAATAAGTGCAAAACACTAGCGATTAAAGCTCAAACACAATAAAAGTGCAGTAAATTAGAGTGCGATAAGCGACTAAAATACGCAATTATAGCCTACCATCATTTATCAAATGTCTAATTACTCAAATCATGACTCAATTGCACTATATGTATATCATGCTCTCCCTTGGGAAATAGTCCAAGTATGATCGAATCATCAAACGATTATGAACTCAATCCATGGTTCCGTTGAAATTACTACGCTCTTAATTGTAAATATTTGCAATGTGTTCTAAGCCCTTATGTATTCATGATCTGAAGATATGATTTTCCGAATGTTTTATAAGTGCCTTGAAATGTTTTATAGTCCATGTCATATGAAAGAAGGAATGCATGGAGTATGAAATGCGACCATCATGCCAAGAATGATGATTTACATATGTGGCCAAGAGTGCCAATGAAATGAAAGAAAGTATGAAAGGTTATGAAACGAATATGATTCTTTTATATGATAATTATTTTGGGAGTATCGTTAGATCACCAAGGAAGGCTGGGTTATAAATGTCCAGGACCGAAACTACACATGCCGGTGTAGGAGTTGATTACGGGGTGAGTTCTCATTATATTATATTGAGATTAATCCACTTGATTGGGATGAATTGATAGCTAGCAAGGACATGTCATACCTTACGGCATTGTGGTAAGACGACCTAGCCGATTGGGCGGAGATCGGATGCCATGCCACGCACATGGTGCTATTGTGTTTCTATGTCCACCCGCATATATTGGGGTGAGACAGAGACAACTTAGCCTATCGGGCAGGGATCAGACTCCATGCCATGTGCATGGTGGTGTGTCGGTGTTAAGGATCTCCCAACTAAAAATGAAAATGTTTACTTGAAGCCCTATTTATTTTTAACTTGGTATTTAAATATGATTGATTTACTTACTGTTTTCCATGTTTCTCATCCTTTTATCCTGGCATTCCATTCCATGAGAGGGTATTTAGCTTTACATATTAGTACTATTCTATATATACTAATGTCCCTTTTGCCGGAGGTGCTGCATATTTAATAGATGCAGGTGGTAGTGATCGTTGATAAAATCATACTCTCTTTTCAACGGATTTTTGTGAGCCCTATTCTGTACCAGGGCCCATATGTTGTATTGTCTTCATGTACATTTAATTTTGAGGTATAGTTGTAGGCTTGTCACTAGCACTCCCATATGTTACTCATGTTCTCTTAGAGGCTCCGTAGATATATTGTGGGTTGTATTTTGATTGGGGAAAACAAACTAAATATGTTGTAAGTTATTGGATGTTTCCACTTTCTAACTATTCACTTGTAATCTTTTAGAAAATATCAATGGAGTCCCTAAAAGTAATGAAACTTGGTACTTCACATTTTATCCTCTCACGTCTATATTCTTGTTATTGATTCTCAAATCATTCATGGGTAAGGTTGGGTAGACGGCATCAAGTAGGCTTGCTTGACTAGGATATCTCGGTTGAGCGCTGGTCGCGCTCTACGAGGTCAGAGCATGACAAGATTGGTATCAGAGCCTAAGGTTTTCAAGTGTCCTAGGATGTCTCGGAGCCATGTCTAGTAGAGTCTTTATTGATGTGTTGTCAACCGCATCTATAATTAGGAGGCTACTTGAGCATTTAGGAATGTCACCCTTCTTTGTTATTCTAGAATCGTGCGGTAGAGCTTGATTATAAGACTGCCCCTTTTTAACTCATGCATTGTTCTTATCTTTCAGTACATGGTGTTTAGGAGAAAGGCGATGAGTGGCGAAATGGCCAATGCCTCCCTAGGAGTGCTAGTTAATGAATTACCTAATGTTGCTGGTAAGCACTCAAGGGGCGAAGACATCCCCCCCAACCGCAACACCTCCTGATTCTACTACTCACTATAAGAAAATGGGGCTTTAGCGAGGGGAAATCTGGTCGTTAAAAGTCCAATTCCGGTCGTTATAAGTTGATAACGACCGGGAAAAACCCGGTCGTCACCGGTCATTAAAAGTCCCGACGTTAAAAGTTAACGACCGGTTTACAATCTGGTCATTAAAGGATCTTTAGCGATGACATAATTTTCGGTCGTTAGAGACAGGATTTTCCCCTCGCTAATTTGTTATCCGGTCGTTAAAAGTCTTTAATGACAATAATGTATTAAGTCAATTCGAGTGCTTTTAGTGACCGATATTCCCTTCGTTAATTGTATAATTACTTTTAACAACCAAAATGCTCTTCGTTAATAGTCATTTATCTGTTTGAGAAACCTTTCGTTAAAGAGTTTTAATGACCTCATTTTTCTTCGCTAATATGAAAATGTAATAAATATAATAAAAATTTAAATTACATGAATAGTAATAATTATTTATATGCTTTCATACACGCTCAACAATATTGGAAAATAAACCAAATACTTGATATCTTGTTAATACAAAGAACTAAAGTATCATATTTACCAGAAACCAATCCAAATTGTAAGAAACCCATCTTACTAAAACAATGAAAAGTAAAAATAACGCAAACCCAGTCAGGAGACAACTAGAAGCATAAAGTGCGATGAGTTAATCATCATTTTTAATAATTCCTAAAAAGAAAAAAAAGAAAAATTACAGCATATATATATACATAAGACAGTGTCTTTAAACTATCGCTGACGAACCAAAAACCTCTTGTACTTCAACTTGCTCTATACTTTCTTCAAGGATAGGTTCTTCAGACTTCAAATTTTTAATCTATTAAAATAACAAATTTATGCCAGTTTAGTAACAAAGAATAAACAACTAAAGAAGAAAATGAACACATTAAAGGGGAAATGAACAGATAACACCTTAAATTATCGAATCCACAGATAGAAAATCATATTCACGAGAAGTAAGTTGACTAGCCAAAGAAGTGATAAGTACAACTAAATTCTAGCCAAGTACCAGGCTAACTTATACCAAATTACCCAATCATTATTGGACCCAAAATATACTTTGTCACCTTTCCAAAATTTCCCCCAACACAAAACCAAAATAAATGTCATGAATTTCAATCAATGTTCCTGGATACTATTTGGCAATCTTCCACCAGCTTACCAAAAAATGAACCAGTACTTTTTACTATGTCTACCTGCACTTGTATGCCTTTTAGACTTCCTCTCATATACTTTTGATATTATGGGCATATTAGTGGTTAGTAAACCTATTTGAATAAACTATAACAAGAGGCTAATTGTCTTTTGATTACAAAGATTTCTTGCAGTAACATGCAAAGAGATAAAGAATTACAGTGGAGGTTGGGACAAGTAGTGATGATCGATTTCAAGGTGATTTGAGGCAACTGTTTGATGCAAAAATATTGCAGAAGATTGTTGATGAAAGAGGCTTGGAATCAACTGAAATTAATGGTAAAACTACATATACAGTTGCTGCTACTAGGATTTCCATAGTCCCTATTGAAGCAGCCGTAGGTAGGGATTCTCAGGAGTTGATAGGTGAGGTATAGGCTGCTAAAAACTCTAAGGTTGATCGAGGTGCTAATTCAACAGCTACAGGAATTGGCCAAAGTACTAAAGGTCAAGGACAAGGTTGTGAATTCAGCTTTACAAACTAATACTAAGGTGGATGGGATTGGTGATCAAGCTAATACACTAACCAAACCAGTCGGGGTGCAGACTAATGTTTAGGAAGTTAGTGAGAAGGAGTGGAGAACTGGGGTGCTTGAAACTGGAAAGCAGGTGCCCAAGACTAAAGAGGCATAGGTTGCAGTGCACATAGAGGCAATTGATGCCTTAAAATCTGGTGTTCAATGTGTGCAGCAGTCTAAGGGAGGAGACTGGACAGTGGTAAATTGAGCACACCTATCACCTAGCAAAAAGAATGCACCAAGTCACAAAAATCAGAGCACTGCTGCACAAAACATCAGTTGTTCTAATGCTTTTGATACACCAAGTATGAAGGAGAAGAAAGCTGGGATACGTGAACCTAAAGTTACACCAGTCCAAAATATAGGAGCTGCTGATGCGCAAACTGGGCAACAATCAAAAGGGCGAGATTGGACAGTGGTGACTCGAAATCATACATCACCTAATAAAAACAAGGCATCAAGTCATAAAAACCAGCCTGTTGGAGCAATTTCTGTAGGTACTCGATGTGATGGTGTAAAGAACGTCAGCTGCTCTAATTCTTTTGAACTATTGCATAATGAGAATGAACAACTTGCGAAAGATAGTGGGAAGAGTATGCAGCAGGAGGATGGTAATGCAATGTCAAGAATTGGGCAATCAAAACCTACAGGCAGTGATACAAAGCAGAAATTTTCAGAGAGTTTAGGAGTTCGATCAACTATCTCAAAAGACATTGTTCCTGTTGAGGATGTCAAACCTGTGGCAGACCATGTAGATACTGAAACCACGCCAATATTACATGTTTTCAATCTAGAAATAGCTAAAATTATAAAGGAAACACAACATGCCATGATGTTGAACAACAATCCAATGACCAAGCCAATCATGGTCACTTTAAACACATCGGCACAAGAGATTCCTTCACAGTTAATGGAGTCGTTTGGGGAACAAGAAGGTGATTCAGGGAAGCAACTAATATCTACAGGGAATAACCAACAATTGGAGAAAGATATGGCTTCAATATCTCAAGTAAACTCTACAAATAAGGCCGGTTTCTAAGGAGCAATTAACTGTTACAAGTGAATTCTTGTGCAATCGTAAGACGTGGACCTATCAAGTAGAAGAGGATGAAGAAGATGAGATGAAAAATAACAACTCGCACTGCATGTTATAGACACTTCCACCAGTACATAAAACCAGACAAGTCACAACTGAAATATTCAATTTCTCAAGCAATATTTCTAAGAAAATGAAAATTGAAAATTTATTGAAGGAATAATAGTTTAATCTCTGATGCCCCTCAAAAATGCAGTGAAGTTCTATAATTTCAACATAGATTTAAGATCATGGTATGTTTGTTATTGACTCTTGGACTTTACAATTAGAACCCCATATAATATCCTCTAGGCTAAAAGAAATGATTTCCCTATCAGATTAATAATCAAGCCATTCAAACCAGAGAATTATTTTCGAAAGGAAGTAGGTGTTGTTAGACAAATCCAGAATCAAATAGTTTTCTTTTTTCTCCAGTAAGTCCTTCAATCCAAAGATCAAGCAATTCTTTTTTAAAGCCAAATGCAAAATATGTAATTTCAGTCAGATGTTATATTCTTTGATGGAACAGCTTGTCTTATTGAAAATTGATTTGAGTAATCAATACACCGTCTTTTTTAGGAATATATGATTTTTTTGAAGATTAACGTGTTAAATTTAAGAGCAACTAGCTAACTGTTTGGTACCATAGAGTTCATATGTGAAGCTATTCACTGAAGAAAGAAAAAATACTAATCACTGGCTCTTCTTTTTCACATAGAACAATCTAAATAAATACCCTTCTAACATCGTCTAATGGTGATACATCATAAATTAAAAAGATACAGGAAGAAACAGGAAAATACAAAAGCACAAATCGACAATTTAACTTAGGGAATGCGGAAGAAACCAAAAGGACTAAGATTAGGTTACTATAAAGGTACACTTTATAGAGTAAAATAGGATTTTTAATGTACTAACCTGTTATATGATTCAATCTACTTATCACTTGAAGATGGTGATGAAGGCTGATCAAACACTATCTTTGCAAGCTGTGCGTATTTACTCCCTGGCTCATCATATTTACTCTCTACCCCTTCCAAACGTCCTTTAAGAGTTTTATTTTCTTTTACAGTAGCATTCAGCTTTCCCAACAATGCAGCTTTAGAGGAGTTACCACCTTTCAACTCCTTAGCGGTTATCCCACCACCAAATCCAACTACATGACTCTTTCGTTGAGGTCCGAAGCACCTTTATACAACCTCAATGTTTGTAAGAGACGATTCAGATTGCACCAATTCTTTGATTTTATCCTGTAAAATAAAAAATAATTTAATTAAAATAATACAACACAATAAATAAATAATGTAAATTGAAATTTATCAATAAACATACATATTTCTCATTAGTTTCAGGTTCAACAAGCTTGTTATTCTTCTTACGAGTCTCAAAGAAAATAGTTGCCACATCTGGTGGATTACCATCTTTACCCCCTTCACATTGAAATAAACAAGTCAAAGAAATCTTTGTAACAAAGATGAGGTTTCTTAATAGAATTATAAGATTTACTCACCAATTCATAAATGATCCCCCTAATTGGCTTACTACCAGTACGATGAGGCATACTCAACTTAGACCTATTGACCGAGTTTCTTGTACTTGTCTCCTAAATTAACAATGTACCAGCAAAATTCTGTTTAGACACTTAATATAACACGATGTTAATAAATAGTTATGAAATCATACCTTAAATATTTCAGTAAAAAAATGCTCCTTGACCAGCCATTCCCAATCACTCTTGTCTACCCCCTTTGGCACATCTTTTAGAGCATAACAGAATGGCTTAGACTTAATATTCTTGTGCATCGATCCTCTCCAATTATTCCATAACTTTCTAATATGTTTCAAGACATGATCTCATTGATCATTTATGTCATCACTGTCAAATTTGTCCTACAATATTTCACAGTATCATTAAATATGAAACAACAAAAACAACATACCAATGTAGTCCCACAAGTGAGGTCTGGGGAGGGTAGAGTGTACGCAGACCTTACCCCCGCCTTTAAAAAGACAGAGAGGCTGTTTTCGGAAGACCCTCGGCAACGTGACAATTGACAATAAGAACTAATTATCAGTCCTAAGCTTATGTCAAACAGAAGTTATGATCACATCGATTACAAAGATGGATTGATTATAAATGACTTAGAAATTTGATCCAATACATTAGAATTCATTCTTGATTCCTGGACTACACAAAGATTACCTTAAAAGAGTATTAATATTTGGAGCTAACAATACAATCTACAAAGAGCCACTTTCACAAGAGTGAACAAGATGAAAGAACTTATATTGTTAATCTCAATATAAGATCCCAAATTTGTTCATCACACGTTAACAGGACATGCAAAGAAGTATTCTGTAACGACCCAACCGGTCGTGTTGAGCTCTAACGCATCGTTCGGTAGTTTGAGGCCATGAGTAGCTTCACTTCAGGTATTATGTCTTGTACGCGTGGTCGGAATTGAATTTTGGGAAGTTCGGAGTTGATTTGGAAAGAAAGTTCTCATTCCGGAAGCTTTAATTTGGAAGAATTGACTAAGGTATGATTTTTTGAGTAAACGACCTCGGAATCGGGACTTAAAGGTTCCAACAGGTTCGTATGATGATTTTGGACTTGGGCGTATGTCCGCATCAGATTTTGGATGACCCGGGAGTATTTCGGCACCTATTGTGGAAAGTTGGAATTTTGGAAGGATTTTATAAATTGGGTTGAAGTGTATTTTTAATGCTATCGGTGTCCGTTTGGGATTTCGAGCCTGGGAATAGTTCCTTGTGGTGATTCTGGTCTTAGAAGCGCGTCCGGATGTGGATTTGGAAGTCCGTAGGTCATTTGGCGAAAGTTGGAATTTGAAGGTTTTGGGAATTTTGTGTGGGAGTGGACTTTTTGATATCGGGGTCGGATTCCAATTTCGGAAGTAGGAGTAGGTCCGTAATGTTGAATGTGACATGTGCGCAAAATTTGAGGTCAATCGGACGTGATTTTATAGGTATCAACATCGAATGTAGAAGTTTGAAGTGCTAAAATTTATTAAGCTCGAATTGGGGTGCGATTCATGATTTTGATGTTGTTTGATGTGATTTTAGGCCTCGAGCAAGTTTGTGTTATGTTATGGGACTGGTTGGTGTGGTATGACGGGGCCCCGTGGGCCTCGGGTGTGTTTCGGGGTGGTTTCGGATCAATTCGGGCTGTTTTGGCTGATGTTGTTGCTGGTTCTGATATTGTCCTTCGCGAACGCGAAGGGAGGAGTTTTGGGCTTCTGATGGTTGTTCTTAGGGAACGCGACACGGGGGCCGCGAACGTGGAAGAGGGTCTGGAACTGTCTACGCGAAAGCGGGAGAGCTGCCGCGAATGCGTAGAAGGAAGATGGAGCGGGGCCTGGAGCAGTTGGCCTTCGTGAACGCGGTTGGTGGAATGCGAACGCGAACGCGAACACGAACACGAAGGGTGGTAGTCTCAAATGTTCGCGAACGTGACCAAGATGACGCGAACACGAAGAGGAAATTAAAGACAGTGTTTCTTTGGCCTTCGCGATCGCGATGGTCATTCCGCGATTGCGAAGAAGGGCGGTCTGGGAAGTGAAGTTTAAACGGAAATTTGGCCACCTTTCATTTTATTTCCTCCATAGGAGCCTATCTTGGAGCGATTTTGGAGCACTATTTCCAGCATCATTCACCGGGCAAGTAATTTTCACCTATTCCAAGTTAGAAACATGGTATTTGAATGGAGTTAAACATGGAAATTAGTAAAAATTTGGGATTTTAAAGAAAAACCTAAATATTTATATTTTTGGATATTGACCACGGATTTGGGCATGGAATTGAGAATAAATCATATATTTGATTTCTTAATGTTTTGGGTAATGTTTATCTTAGAAAGTTTTCGGAATCCGGGCATGTGGGCCCGAGGGTTGCTTTATCGACTTTTCGAGCGGAGTTGGGAATTTGTCTAAATTGTTTTGTTATGAGTATTAGAGTGAATTTTTATTGGTTTGCACATTGTTTGACTAGTTTTGGAGAGGCGAGCATCGGTTTGAGGTGTTAGAGGGGCTTTAGAGCCGGTTATGGAACTTCGGAGTGAGGTAAGTCTCCTGTCTAACTCTGTGAGGGAAAAACTACCCCTAGGTGTTGTAATTGATATTTGTTACTTGTTGCGGGGGCTACGTACGCACGAGGTGACGAGAGTCCGTACGTAGCTAGATTCAGGTCATTATCCGGGTAGACTTAGGTTCACACCATGCTATACTTGTATTATATGGGTTATCCTTGCTCGTTTAATTCCTTTATTTCACTTTACAACTTGAGACTAGACATGCGTAGAGTGATAGACTCGCATTTGTAGAGATTTGATAAGTTTCATGATTTGCTGCGGAATAATGGTGTTCCTCTTACGGATTTCTCACGCGCCATGCATTTTCATTGAAAGCTTTTCCTTAAAATATTTTTATAACTCACACATTTATTCGTGAGTGGGGGTCAAGGACCCACTTAAGCTTCTTATTCTAATGGGATCGGGCCGTTCGCCTCGGCAGAATTTATGTACCACACTCTCATGGGAGCGGCCCGTTCGCCTCGGCAGTTTAATAGATGCATCTATGGTTCGTTCCATTTGACCCTCGCTAGTACACATATTATGATGGGATTGGACCGTACGCCTCGGCATTTCTATAAAATTTCCTCATGAAATCGTGCGTAATATATGGCAAGAAGCCAATGTATCTGTGAGATTTCCTTTATTTGAATTATACTAACCTATTTGGTGAGGTCTATATATATATAATATATGCTCCGGTCAAGGAGGAAATTGCTAATTGAAGGCTCGAGTTTATTGTGAAGAGGAGAATTATACCACGTATATATACTTGTTTATTTTGGTTATTTATTCTATCTCATAATTGTTCACCTCTCTACTATACCTGATATTATTGGACCACTAGTAAGTGTCGATGTCGACCACTCGTCACTACCCATTCGGGGTTAGGCTGGATACTTACTGGGTACACGTTGATTTACATACTCATACTACACTTGCTACACATTTTTGTGCAGGTATATTTATGTCTGGTGGTCCTTTGGCGCGAAGGCGCGGATGATGCGGGGACTTACCGTGAGCTGCATTTCATGTTACGATCCGTAGCCGACACAGTCTCCTTCAGAGTTATTTATATTTTTCCTATCTAATTTGTATTCCGGACAGATGTTGTATTTTATATTACTTCCTAGTTGATACTCAAGCACTTGTGACACCAGGTTTTGGGGGTGCTTACGGGTTATTCATTAATGTAGTTGCGAAAAATATTTTCATTCACTTTGTAAATCCCATTTTGTATTATGTAATTAAAGAAAATTATGATTTCAAATACTAATATGAGTAATTAGGATAATCATTTATTGTTGTCTTGCCTGACCGCGGTGTTAGGCACCATCACGACCTTTAATGGATTTTGGGTTGTGACAATATGGTATCAGAACATTAGGTTCACTTAGGTCTCACGAGTCATGAACAAGTCTAGTAGAGTTTTGCGGATCGGTATGGAGACATCTGTACTTATCTTCGAGAGGCTATAGGGCTGTTAGGAGCACTTCCCTTCTTGATTCCTCATTGTGCCATTTGATTCCTTTGAGGCTTATGCCTTTATTTCTTTCCTATTCAATCTTATGCGATGTTAGGCGCTTGTTATCAGTTGGGAAGCGAGGAATTTTAAGGGTACTGTAGATATGGTACAGGATGTTTCTCCCTACGTATTTGGTTGGGCTGATGTCGTCGCCTTGCGAAAGGATGTTCTGTCATTTCAGCTCAGTAGCTGTATTCCTGATGGTTTTGAGGCTATGCACGGGTTGCCATGATGTTCGTGAGTTGTTATCGCATAGTATTGATGTAATGGTAGGATACTTGCCTATTTGTCAGGGCAGTGAATGACATGAGAGGAGGTTCTTCTCGGTGTGTGATTCAGAGGTTCAGTGTTTTATTTCCAGCAGAGGAAAGGTAATCGAACTATGAATGTTCAGGGTTAGGTTGATAGAGTAATGAGACTTGGTATTTTTGAGTATGGTGGAATTTTTGTCTATAATATGGCGTCGTTGTCCTTGTTAAAGGTGTTAAGTTTGTCTGTGTTATGGTCTTCTTCAATTTGCCTTCGGGGCAGGGTATTGTGACATGGTGCCGGGGAAGTGGCTGTCAGAGATCGCGGTGTGCAGTGGTTCAGAATCGAACCGGTGTTCCTAATATTGACGGCTTGAGGAAGATGATCTTTAGGGAGGTTTAGAGTTGGTGGCGATCTATTGGTTCAAGTGCTATAAGAGATGGATTTCTATTAGGCAACAATTGGGTGAGGAAGGGCATGTGAGAGCTGTCTTGTGGTGGTTAAATTTCTAGAAGGACAAATGTGAGAAGCAGAAGTCGATTAGTTGCTTAAAGGAGGGGGTTTGACCAAAGTGGGAGAGTATCATATGGGTTCTGTGCCAGGATTGCTACACACCTTGAGGAAAGTGTAGAGTGATTTGGGGTTCATGGTGGACCGTGACTAGGTCTACGGTCTAATTTAGAATATTAGCTACTATACTGAGGAAGATTGGATACGACAAGAGGGAGTTGCTTAATATAAAGAGGGCAGCAACATGACTTCAGATTAGAATGTATCGTCGGGCCTTTAGTCGATGTCAATGGGGAGTGAACGGACTTGTAAAACCGGTGAATGAGCACAAGCTCAGGATGGTTTATTGGTTTCGTAGTAATTGTACTCGGTGCAGTGTCGTTAGAAGGTGTCGGCATGGAATTTACACAGGTGAGTTATCTTCGGTGAGCAGGTTAGCGGTTGCGTGGAGTTGGCGAAGCTTCTATGAAGAATTCTAATGGCTATCCGATAAGAGGTCAAATATGTAAATGTGGCTAGAGATTCAGAGTGTTCATGAAATGTTGAACAGGAAGATTTCGAGAAAATTTGGCAGGTCGATTGTGCCAGATCATGTCAATGAGGAAGAAGGAATCTTGGTGGGTTCCAGGGTTATGCAATTGTAACTTCAAGCTAAGTGGGAGAGCCCTATTGTCTATGATTGGATTGCATGGTTGTTTACTTATGGGTTTTCTGGTTATCGGCGTATTGGTGGGTCATTACGACCAAGGAAAAGAAATTTGAGCAAAGGATTTGAGGAATGTGTGCTATATTGGGCCTTATCAGTTCATATTCAGGTTGTGGGAAGACTCAGAGTTTATGCTGCATGTGGAGGTGATGTACAAGGAAAGTGATCCAACCAGGAGCTTCTCTGAGAAGGTGTTCATGTGCTAGCAGAGCCTTGGAGTGTTCTATGTTATCATCGGTCTGCGGTGTAGCATTGGAGGATGGGAGAAAACAACTTCAGATTCATAAAGGATTTATTAGAATTGGTGTACCAATTGAAGATGCGAATGTGCGCACAAGGAGGGTATGAGATGGTT